AGTTAGCGCTGTGTGGAACCAAGCCCTTGTGAATCGCTGTGTGTTGCTCCCTGGCAAGATAGACAGTGCCTCTTGTCACCGATTCCGTGTGAATAATTGTGAATCCTTTGGTGGGCACATGTACTCGGTTGCAGATTAAATGTATTTCTCCAGTGCTGGCTTTGACACTGACTTGATCCTCACCTGCAGCTTAAAGCAGGAAGCAAACAGTTTCTAGTTTGTCTGAACTTCAAATGCTATTTTCAAAACGTGGATTTATTGCCTTCACATAAATACTCTTACTCTCTGTTTGATTCTTGGATTGCACAGGGATCGATAGAGTTTTTCACAGTGTTCATTGAGCGCTGACAGGCGTAAATTTCAGGGGAAATCTAAGAATATTTTGTTACTTTCCCAGTATAGGAGAGTTGCGGAAAGGGAAACCTTTCTCGGAAACAATTTGAGCATAACAAACTCTTAATTGCAATCTCTGCTATTTCTCCCTTACAGTATATTTTCTCATCCCCGTTTTAGGAGAGTTGAAATCATCATAAATTTGGTAATTTTAATCCAGAAAACATTTATGATCCATGTACTTAAACTGTTTTTCTTTCTTTTTTTTCAATGTTATGTGAAATGTCATAACGAGATCTCTCATGTCACAATTTCCTGAATCTTCTATTCTCCTTGGCATCTCAAATTAATGAACAGAAACACAGAATTCTATGAATGGCTCCCTTGGAAACACTAAAATGGATCCATTTCTTTATCTTTTTTAATCATTTCATTGTAGCTGTTAACAACAACTAGTTGTGGAGTCCGGTTGGGAGCCAGGTCACAGGTTCATCTCAAGATCATCAGATTAACTTGAATCAATTATAAAACGTAGTAGTTTTAGATAACAATTAAACAAATAAATCTTGAACTTGACCCGATAAAGTCTTACTCGGGTTTTTTAAGTGAATTGGATTGCGAGTTGATGCGCTAAGCAAACCCAATTCCAGTTCGGCTCCTAGCACACGACACATTGGATTTACCAATCAAATCTAAATTTGGTTTTCTTTTATTTTCAATGGACATTCTGGCAACCAGATGGACCCGTTATTTGCCAACTATTTACTGTGCTTCACGTCCAGTACACCTTTCAAGAAATGTCCACATTCTTTTGCCGCCCAATCATTCCCGCCCACAGCTGTATGGATATTGAACGCTCTAGCTTCGATCCTGACGAGTCGGATCTTGTTGGGGCCTAAATTGCCTTCCACGGCTTCTGGTCCTAAATATTCATATTAATACAAAAAAACTTGTGTTTTGGATTAGACAGTGGAAGCTTTTTGTTGTTTTTTAACCTCTCGGATTTTGCCTATGAAATGAATTTTCAAGTCAATATTTCGGAGCCTCGGCAAGAATTATCCGCGGCTAGATAACGCCTGCAAGCTGATCATGTATTTGTGGGCTAAGAACCCATGCACTCGGTCGCATTTGCTCTACAAACATGTGTTAAATCATGAGATATTGAAGTCAGTCGCAGGACATCACCTGGTCTTGGTATAATTTTGTGGGCAAAGTTTAATTTTTCAGCAGATTTCTAAACAATTGTCTTTCTATGTGCAAGTAGCATATTACTTCTTCTTTTCTTTTCTTTTTTTAATCTTTGGTCATCTTTTAAGACCTAGGTTTCTTTTCTTTTTTTTAGGGCACCAAAATCCAAGAATTCTGTGTTCTTTTTGACCCAGTCTTTGCCTTTGGACTGAAGTGTTTTAAAAAATTGGAGAACCTTTGAAGAAAAGCTATGGTGGAGCTATTTAATTCAGTTTACTTCATAAACTAAGGAGCTGCTGGATGCTAGTACTTGCCTTTGGGTCTTGTCAATTATGAGATCCAATCTGATAACTGGAAAAGGGGTTTGATTTACCAGGTTAATTTGTAAGTATTGTATCAATTTAAGAATTATATCTGCACAAAACACTGTAACACTTAGATGTAATTATTATAGATAATGATAGTGAAACGAATATTTTATTTTTTATTGCCCGGCCAAGGAGGCTGAATCCAGAGGTAAAATGGTTTTTTTATGTGATTTATTTATCATTTTTATTTTGATTATCGGTATAATGATATTAAAAAAAAACGTAAAATTCATTCAATATCCTTACAAGCAAGAAATCAGATAATTAGTCATATCTTCTTTTCTGTTTTATTTATTTTTCCTTTTGATTTCATTGGTTTTTTTAGGATAAACTTCATGATTTTTTTTATTTTTTATTTTTTATTTTGTAGGGTTATCTTAATTTCATGATTTAACTTATAACTTTAATGGATTAACTCAAATAGGTTTACAGATATATTTGTTTGGCTTTTAATTTTTTTTTGAATTTTTTTATGTAATTTTTTTATTTTATTTTTTAATATTTAATTTGTTAAAAATTAGATTTTGTAGCTTTTTCATAATAATTTAGGACATAGTAAACATAGACTAACATCACTTTTTTAGCTTATCATTTGGTATTAGTTTCTCTCATTTCGATATTGTTTTTTTTTTTAAACATGCTTGCATTAATTAAATATTATACTTTTTTTTATTTTTTTTATCCAGCCTACGGAGAAGCTTGAATCATATAACTAATATTACATTAAAAATGATTTAACATACCAAATTTGAATATATTTAAATTTGAATAAAATTTATAACTTTAATTTTAACATAATTTTTAATTAATTAAAAAGAACAGTTAATAATTGAGAATCTTAAAAGTTTTAGTTATCAAACATAATTCCATCAATCGCAACTATACAAAATAAAACCAAACTTAAAAGTTTCAGATTATCAAAACAATTAAAAAAATTACAAACACATTAGTTTGTCTAATAAGAGAAGGCAATGAATAGAGATGCATATGAAAATTGGTTAAAGAATATTTTTATTACTATCATGTAACTAAATTAATTTATATGTTTGTAGATGACCTACCTAGCTCACAAGCAAAGTTCTTGAATGTCTTTTTTGGAATTGGAATTTGCATTCTTCAAGCAATTGACAAACATTATCTTTATCCCCTTTCATGATTCACCTTCTCTCCATAGATGTTCATCATTTGGTGCCCTTTCATGTTTTTTCACTTTCAATTTTTAGGGATGGATTCAGCTCCCCCACCCTCTTAAAACCTGAGGTCCCAGGTCCCAACTCAAGGACTAGCAGACAATTATCCTCACAAAAACTTGCATATCCACCATTCTCTACTGAGCTTTTGGCCATTAAAAGCTCCATTAAAGCTTAAAGGAGGCTTTAAGGATAGCTGGAGAGGTAGTAAAGTGTAGGGTTAAACATTGAATGCTGCAAGAAGGCAGTTGTTATTGAGATGAGTGAGATTAGAGGGAAAAAGAGAGGGTAAATTGAGGTTTTAATTGTAAATTTAACAATATTTAATTAATAAATACATATCATACTATTTTAAAAATCCCAATGAAAGCTTGTTATTAAAATTTTAGCTAAAAATAAAGTTATATATAGTAATGGGATATCCAAAAGCATAATAATGATTATTTTTTAAACTTTTTATTTAAAAATATATTAAGATAATTTTTTTATTTTAAAAAAATATTTTTAATATTAATATGATTTAAAAATAAAAATAAAAAAATTAATTTTTTTAAAACATAAAAATAAACCAAACTGAATCACTGCCTGTCATGATGTTGTGAGCACATATACACTGGCCGAGTAAAGCAAAGCTAAGGAGGGAATGTCTGACTCTGACAATTTCTGACCCTCAACTTCTCTCTACACCCCCAGCAGCCTTTGACCAAATCTTAGCCGTCTATCAGCCATGCTTTAGATTTACTTTTCTCTCTCTCATTTCCATTATTAATTTTTTAAACTCCTTCCTCTCCCATTTTGAGTTCTTAATCCTTTCAAGGGCACTTGTTTTAGGTGCCCTTTATGGATTAATGGCGGTCTCACACAAGTACCTTCTCTCTTCTTCAAAAAGACGGTACTGGCCTTCAAATTTGTTTCTGCGGCATCCTCGTGTTCTTAAATTAAACCCTTTCTTTTAATTTTTTTTACTTTTTTAATATATATATATATATATATATATAACACTGCCTTAAAAGGAACGAAATCAGCACTGTTATTTTCAGTAAGATCACCTTTAAAAACCCAATTTGAAATTTCAAGACGCACAAGTGTTATGGAATAACTAGTGCAATTATTGGCAATTTCGTTAGCCAAACAGAACTTAGTTCTCCATGCTGAAATCACGAGCACTTCTATACACGTACATGGAATCCTAATACTATATTGGATTCTTGAGACAATTCTTCTTTGCAAGCTGGGAGTTTTTTTAATTGAATCTCTGGTTCGTATTTTAAGAAAATAGATATTCAATTTCAATGTAGCAACATATTATTAATATTTAATATTTTTATATTTGATTAGGGTCGTATAAAGGAAACAAATATAGAATAGATAAAAATGGATTTTATTAGATGGATGAAAAAAGAGATATAAAATAAATCTAATAAAAAACAAATATTCAACCTTCAAAGAATTTATTATCAATTTGAGATAATTTTTTAATGAGTTTATTTATTTTTATAATAAAAAAATATAATCAAATATTTTAGTGTGTATTTGATATTGTATTTTTAATTGTGTTTGAGTATATTTTAAAAGAGTTTTTTCAGTGTTTTTTTTATATAATTTTGATATAATAATATAAAATAAAAAATCTAAAAAATTATTTTAATATATTTTTTTAAGTAAAAAAATATTTATAAAAACATTATTTATGACAATATCCATATGTAATTATATTATATTTTTTATTATTATTATTCTTCACCTGAAGACAACGAAAGGCCAGAAATGTCCATATGTAAAATCATCTCAAAACAAGGGGCATCCAGTCAAAAATAGAAAGGAAAGTTCTCCCACAGATAATGACTCCATCATCATCATCATCATCATCATCATCAATAACTAAACTACATTAACCAAACAAAGGAACATCTCTCTCTCTCTCATGCTATGTTCCCTCAAAATCCTTATTATTCATTTTTATAGGTTTCTGTTCCCTCCTCCTCCACCACCACCAGCAGCTCACCCTCTTAGATCGGATCCCTTCACATTAACCTGTAAATACCATGACTAAAAAAACAAAAAGTTCAAAACTTTAACCTCTTTTAATCACCAAGACAATATTAACTCACCCCCATTCTTTGTCATCATAAAATCTATACTGCGTTTGCTTTGTTTTCTTCTGCTCTGCTCTCTTTGTTTTATTGTCTTTTCTTAAATATAAGAGTACAAGGAAGGTACAACGGTGTGCTGACATAAATGGGAAATGTAACGTCAAGTGTGGCAGCAAAATTTGCTTTTTTCCCGCCAGACCCTCCCACGTATGATGTGTTTAGAGAGAGTGATGGGAGGCTGGTGTTACCAGGTGTAACTGCAGACAAGAACATGGAGGTTCATTTGTTGGAAACTAAACCTGGGAACAAGATTGTGGCCACGTTTTGGAAACACCCTTTTGCAAGATTTACAGTTTTGTACTCTCATGGAAATGCTGCTGACCTTGGACAAATGCATGAGCTTTTCATTGAGCTTAGAGCTCATTTGAGAGTCAATATTATGAGGTATGTTTTGGTGGGTATGGCTTTTTTGCTTCTTTGGATTTGTTTTCAGGCTTGTCTTAAATTTTTGTGGTTGTTTTGACTATTGATTCAGCACTTCTTTTTCTTGGGGTTTCGTGATTTTCTTGAATTTTAGTGCTATTATTTGTTTTTGTTTATTTATGTATCTATACATGTTCTTCTTTGATGATTGATTAAACATATATGAATTTTCTTATTTGATGGTATCCTTTCTGGTGATTGATTAAATAAGAACATCATTTTGTGGATTTAATCTTTCTGGGCTTATTTAGGTGGTTTGCTTATGTTTTTTGGTTTTGTTGTTGCCTTCTTTTTCTAGTTTCCCTTTGTCTTCTGTCTATGCAATTAGTTTAGCACCCGTTTGCTAATTATGATTTCCTTCCTTCCTTTTCTTTCGTTGTTGAAAAAGAACGGTGTCTTTGAATTGTGGATTTGCCATTTAGACCTTTTCTCTCTTCTTGTCATGTGGTGTTCCTTGTGTTTGCATGTTTGGAGCTATATCATCTGTGAATTTTATTAATGAAGGATAATATCATGTGTCAGTCTGTGAAAGTTGCTGTCTTTGTAATCATTATGTGCATTTTCATTTTCTCGATTGTGACCTTACAAGAAATCTAAATGGATTTGACCCAGAGAGAAAAGAAAATATATCTCTAGTTTTCTGATTTAAATACTAGCCCAAAAAGATATTTCCAGCTTTTGTCATAATCTTGCTGGAATTTGTAGGGTTTGAGTTGTCGCTATGGCATCAATTCTCATTAACATGGACCTTTTTTGTCTTGACTTGTTATAATTTAGCTTGAAATTTCCTTGATTTTGTTTTGTGTATTTGGTTTTGGGTGCATGCGATGAGGGATGTAGGACATTAATTTTACTTGCAGTAACATTGGTATGCTTTCAGGATACAAATGCTTTTTTATGAAATAGCTCTGCCGGTTGCATGCTTACAATTGAACTTGTGAACTTTTGCTTCATTACTTATTTTGTGTTTTGCTGTTTTCGCAGCTATGATTATTCAGGATATGGAGCATCTTCCGGCAAGGTGAAGAAAATCTATAAGATCAATATGCATTTGTTGTTCTTTTTTTTTTTTTTTTTCCTTGAATCAAACGTTGAGCTGCCCAGAATTTTCCTGGAAAGGCTAATTTTTAACTAGAAAACAGCATCTAATATTAGAGGTCCAACATTTTTTTGATCTCTCTCATACTGTCTTGCTAATGCTATGCTATGCCATGCCATGCCTGATTAATTGTTTATCTGCATTTGTAACAGCCATCTGAGTTCAACACATACTATGACATTGAGGCTGTGTACAATTGTTTGAAGAAGGATTATGGAATAAAGCAGGAAGACTTGATCTTGTATGGCCAATCTGTTGGAAGTGGTCCTACCCTGCACTTGGCTTCTCGTTTACAGAAGTTGAGAGGCGTCGTTCTTCACAGTGCAATTCTTTCAGGCATAAGGGTCTTGTATCCTGTCAAGATGACATTTTGGTTTGACATTTACAAGGTAGCTTTAGCTTTGGGTATCATTTTATCTCTTGTTTGTTGGATAGAAATCATATTTGTTTTGTACTGAAGATTCTGTATCTAATCTGTACAGAATATAGACAAAATACGTCTTGTCAGCTGCCCTGTTCTGGTTATCCATGTAAGTCTCTCTCTTTTATTATTTTGGCCACCTTGTCCAGCTTCCTCACTTTGTTTCCACATAATTTTTTTTCCATTTGCATGTAATTCTGGTCATGAAAAACGCATGGACGAAGAATTGTCCAAACTTTTGCTTATTTACTTCTCATGATAAGACCACATGGCATTACTGTAATTTTCTTTCCTGTATTTTTTTTACTTTCCCTTCCAGACTTCCGGTGACAGAAAAAAAAAATTTGCAAGCTGTTTAATGTTCATTTTATATATAGCGAGAGCAGAGAGAGCTAGTTTCTGTTTGAAGAATGGCAAATCTTAACAAAACTTGAAACACTAAGAAAGAAATTTAGGCTTTAAACGACTAGAAACTGTGCTTGGTTTCAGGAATTGGGAATGATTTTGGAAGTTAAAGAAAAATACGATGAGCGTTTAAAAATGATTTGGTTTTGACCACTACCACAGTTTGTTTTGTAAAAGGAGCTGATAATTATTTTTTAATGGATGACTGTAGTTATTGTTGCCATTGATCCGTGCATGAGTAAATCTACACTTGATGTCAATGAATTTTTGTGTAAGACGCTGAAATATGCTTTTTAAGGGAATTGAGATGAACCCAACCCAAGATACATGGAGGTTCCTGGAACTTTTGTCCTAAAATCTCTCTTACTAGGTGGCTTTGCCAGTTGACAGGACATGTTAGATGAAGAAGCTGGTTATGTTCAATGACCTTCTCTGGAATGATACTGCTGATATGGAAACATGCCGATTGAAACCGTGCATGCACAGGGTTCAAACCAATTGAAATTAGAATGAATGCCGTCTATTATTTTCTTTCATTAGTCAATGCCATTAAAAACTTCCTCTGCCAAGTTTACAAGCATTACCGCTATGCCACATTATTTATTTTGTTTTTCTTTCAGTACCAGATGCCATCTCTTGCTGATGATATGGTTGGATAATTTGTGACTATTTTATATACTGTTTGACGTGATTATTGGTTTCAGCTTCAATTAGTAAATCTTTGCTGCTATTATGGATGATATTTGCTGTTGAGCCTTTGCAGGGAACAAATGATGATATCGTTGATTTATCCCATGGAAAGCGCCTGTGGGAACTTGCCAAGGAAAAATATGATCCCTTATGGGTCAAAGGTGGTGGGCATTGCAACCTTGAAACTTACCCTGAGTACATCAAGCACTTACGAAAGTTCATAAATGCGATGGAGAAAATCTCCATTGTTAAACCGACAAAGCAACTCACACAGAACCCAAGTATTGAAGTCAAACACAACAAGTGCTTAAGATTTGGAATTAGGTAGCCAGTTGAATTTCAGTTCATCAAATCAGGTAGTTTTATTACAAGAGGAACCCGTTCCGAGATTGGATATGCTTGCTTCATGGACTTGCAATTGGTGGCCAAGCATGTTATTGCCAGTATGTTTCTAAAGATCAGGAATTAATAGGAAATATACTTTGTTTGTTGCAGATCCTGTTCAGGTAGCCATTTACAGGTATCAAGTTTTTGTAACTATTCATAAGTGCTGTGTCAAAGTATTTTGTCAGAAAAATCATGAGAAATGTGCATGGTCTGGGTTTTCTTGTAAAATATAACTGCTGGTTTTTGTAACAACTATCCAGAGAATCAAATACATGGGTTAGTTTTGTTTTAACTCGATCACTGATCTGTTCTGTCTTCAATTGCAAGTCTCTGCACCTGTAACTTATAAACATCAGCGGTAGCATCTTCCTTGTGTACAAGTGCTAAAAGTCCTTGCAAAACGCTTTAGACACACACTTGCAGTGAAGGGCATCCATATTTCTTTGCAATGGCAATGATTCGAGCCTTGAAGTTCCTGGGCTTGCAGTGTTGCCGTTGCTAGTGCTAGGTGATTGTGGTGAGGAACATAGGGAGTAAAAGCTTTGGCATACACAGATATTGCCGGAAGCTGAGTTCTTTTTGAATTAATTTACATTTTAATCGAGATTTAGTTTGTTCTTCATATCATGAAATCTAACGAAGTAGTGGCTCTAGTTGGTTTCAAGGAACACAAAGCGCAAGTTGAGAGGATCTGAAATGCATCGCTCTTAACGACTCCAGGTTGCCTTCAAGAACAGAACAGCTGTTACATTGATTATTAGAGGACCGCATAATATTATTGTATCAATACAAGCAAAACTAACCCTTAAGTGCTGCAAAAACATCTAGACTAGTAGTCTGTCGATGCAAATTGAAGCAAGGAAAAGAAAATATTCAAGGAACCAGCCTGATCAAAATCAAGGACAAGAAGTTCTTTCTCCTCCTTTTCAGTTCTAGGAACAAGTATCCAAGGCTCAAGTTCAAGTTCCAGGAGGGCTCAAACCCCCACAAGATCGTGTCCTTCCTAACTTCTAAATTTGGCCCAACATCTTACCAATATAAGCTTACTTTCTGTATTTTTCTGGTCAATCTTGTTTTGCCCAAATTACAAGGGCCATCCTCAAACAGTGGAACCATCTGCTGGCCAGGGCGGGCTCAATATAGACTCTCTTCGATTCTTCTGTTAAGCCTTGTGCAATGCTCTCCAGTTTTATGGCCAAGGAAATGGTCAAACTCTTCTCATATCTTCTGCAGATTATCAAGCAAGTACAGGGGTTGAAGCAAATGTGGCAAGTGAGCCATGAAGACTGCATCAGTGAGATTCATACCTTTTATTAAAGGCCTGTCCCATAAATAATTATTTGCTGTATGCTCATTTTCTTTGAGATTTTAACCATCCCATAGAGCCCTCCCTCCACTCAGAGATTAAATAAATAAATACAAACTTTCTTTTCTTTTCTTTTTTTATTTGATGTTGTGGGAGCCAAGAAAAAGCCCTTGTAATACGAATTCCTACTGCCGAGGCAGAGATACAAAATGAAAAGTGGAAACTCATATATATATATATAGAGTTAGTGAAAATAAAAATGACATGTATTTCTTTTTTAAAATTAAAATTATCTTTTCTAAAATCTCTGTTTTTATCTCTTTGACCAAGTTTTTTTTTGTCTTTTTTATATTTTTCAAATAAAAAACCTTATAATATATAAAATTAATTAGTAGCAACAATAATACAATGAACATCCTTATTCTAAGAAATATTAGAGCTTGGTTATATGCTTCCTTTCCCTCTCTCTTAGAGGAATCAAGATTTGAATTATTCTATATATATAATGAATAGTCTTAAGATTGTGTATTGGCCCACGTATTTAGATTATAGATGATGCAGCAATTATTGTCAGACAATTTCCAACAAAAATCTTTATCCTAAGAAATAAACAAAAGACGAACAAAAAGATTGAATGAGATGTTGGGAAAGCAAACACAATAGGCACATGGCTAATTCAGCCCCACTTGCCCCCTGTCATAATTAAGGAGTAATATATTTATTTATTTATTTATTTATCTTAGCAGGAGTGGCTGTAGTGATTTTTGCTTAGACACAGCCATTGTTTGCTAATGTACAGCAGTTTTTTAAAATAGTTTATTGCTATTGAGCAGCTGGACAGTTAAGAAAAATAGTTTCAGCGTGCTGACTTTCGGAAAGGCACCCTGCTTTTCACAAGGTTTCACGTGTTTTCAAAATTCTGCAGACATGTTTAATTTTTGTATTCTGTAATAGGGTTGTTTTTATGGCTACGGGTTTAAAAAAATATATAGGTTTAAGATTATTGTTTTAAAAAATAAGTTTTTTTCAAATATGTTTTTGATTAAAATTATTGTGAGATGAATTCTTTCATGTAAAATAAATAAAAAAACAAGTTGTTTTAAATTCTACAAAACCAATGTTTAAAACATAATTATAAATGGAGATTAGTTAAAGAAATATATAAATTATTTGACTAGCCAAATTATTATTTTAGGTTATTATAAAAAACATAAGCTACCATGATAACAAATAACAAACAAGTAATATATAAATCTTATATTTTAGATTATATATTCGTTGGGTTATATTATCTTATTATAATAATTATTAAATTTAATATAGGGTAAAGTTTTTTCAAAAACTGAGTCATATGTTGAATAGGCTAATTTGAATTAATTTATGTTAATTAATTTTTTATTAAAAAAGTAAAAAGAACCTTTTGGAAAAAATAAAAATAAAAAGTTAATAAGTGTTAATTAGATAGATCAACTCATGTTTTTTACTAAATAACATCAAACTAATTTTCAAATAATGTTTTTAAAATTAAATCCAAATTAGATCTAGATTTATTTTATTATAATAATTATTAAATTATACTTTAGATAATAACAAATAATTAGTCGATTAAATATATTTTTGACTATGCACTTGTGAGTCATTATTGTAATAATTATTGAATTTAATATGGGATAAATTTCATGCAAGGTCTAAGTTACATGTTCAGTGTAGATTTGAGTTACTCAATTTAAAAAAATAAAAATAAAAATAAGATCCTTTTTAAAGAATAAATTAAGAAATAAAAAGTCAACAAATTATTGGATAGATGTACTCATATTTTTTTACTAAATCAAATCAAATTAATTTTTAAATAATTTTTTATAAAACAAAACCCAGGCTAGATCCAGATTGATTTGATCGAGTCTAGTAATAATACGTAATACGAACTCCTTTATATGATGTTGGATTCAAAAGACGTGCAAGAATACACAATATCAACTAGTATTTTCCACGTCGATTAATGAAGATGACAGGTAATACAAGGTCATCAACCACATTGCAATTTGGAAAAATAGAGGGACTGAGAGTGCAAATTAAAGAAATTTAATGTCAACATCATTGCTAATTGCAGGGTATAATTAGTATTGAACCGAAAAATTAATAAGAAGGCACATCGAGTTAATTATAATTTTTTTCCCTTTCTCCTTTGAGAAAGAGCATATTTAAAACAATTAGACTAATCAGAGGAGAGATAACACAAATTAATGCCAAAAGTGTTTACGATTTCGAAGGCTTAACTTCTTATCTAAAACAATAATTTGATTTTCCAAGACATGTTTAACATATATGCAATGTTGCTTTCAAAGATTTTGAGAATAATTCATACACGTGTAATTAATTAGTAGCAAGATTTGATAAACAAGTGGAGCTATTAATCTCGTTACGATTTTTTTATTTTATTTTATTTGCATGTGGTAATGGTTTCCACAATATTACATGTACATGGTATATCCACTTACGTAAAAAGTTTGAACTTCTTTTAATATAATTTGTTTGGTTGAAGCTTCATTGTCGATAAATCTACTATTAAGTTTGAAAGTTGAATTCATCCAGCGGTGTTATAATCAAGTTTTGGTATATTCTCGAGATTTTTTTTTCTTTTTTTTTTATTACACAACACATTTTATAAGTTATAAATATCATATTTTTTATTATGGCATGTATGAACTAAGTTACTTTATTACTTTCTTTTGCAAAAAATGTTATTTCATTAATATTAAAAAAATCGAATACAAATGGGAATTCAAACACATGATGATTTTGCAACTCCTTTTCCATCAATTTGATACCACTAATTGGTCTCCACCTAATCCCTTTGAGAGCAGCTTTCTTCCCAGCGCTCAAGCGAAAGGGTCCCCATCGTTCAACTTGTTGCCGTTTCACATGGGCTCAATAATCTTCGACAACTTGCAAATTTAGGTATTAATTTAGCTGTCAAAGAAGTGCCCATGCATTAAACTTAAAGCAATAATCAGTCATTAAGTTGATTAATCAAGCACATGATACACGTCTAATATTTGTTTAGTTATGATCAAACCACCTGACGTGGTCCTCGCAGGAGTTAATTGCGATCAAACCACTAATTAATCGTGACATGACGCTGATCATGCATGATTGGCCCAAAACTTTTAATTCTATAAATTTAATTGCCTATGGACGAATATTTACGAATTATGAAGTTATTGAACGGCCCATGTAGCTTTATGTCAAATATTCTCTTGACTGGTACACAGTCTGACCTTATGGTAGGTTGAAGAAAAATGGTTGATAATCACGCTGTTTAATTCCTACCATTATATGCGAGGAATCTGGTTATTATGATGTCTCCTATGGGCAATTTAGGTTGAATAAATTCCCAAAAATAATAACAATATTGTTTTTTCATCACTGATATTATTAAATCTCAGATAAATAGACAAATTAATCTCAACATCGTGCTTGGTTAATTACTGTTTTGGGATGGAAACAATAAATATAAAAGAAATAAAATTATATTTAGTTGAAGTGATAAAAAAATTAAAAATTTAAAAAAATTATCTTTTTATATTTTTAAAATAAAAAATATTGGAACGTGTGCTTTCTTTATTTTTTATTATATTCGTTGATTCTATGTAGTGAAATAGTAAGTAACCAAATGCTACCCAATTGTTTGGTTACTTAAAAAAAATTAAAAAAGAACAAAAACTCGCCTATGATCTTCTTAGTTGGATTATTAACATTATCCAAATCATTTGAGTAAAATTGATTAATTTTTTTAATTGATAAAAGGACAGCAATTGGTATTGGAATTTTTAATTGATAATTTTAGAATAATTTTTTATATTTTAAAATAGAAATTATTGGAATACGTGTCTTTTTTATTATATTCGTTGACTTTTATGTGGTGAAATAGTAGGAAACCAAATGCTACCCAATTTTTTGGTTGTTTTTTTTTTTTTTAAAAAAAAGAAAAA